ACCCAAACTATTCTATGATTCTATCCTCTCCCCGCTGCATGAGCGCCCTGGCCACCAGCCCCTTGGGACAATGGTGTTCAGTTGTGGTTGGAGCGCCAGGCCAGACCTGGTAGGGTGTCTAGGAGCTTGTTGGATCCATCTGCGGGCACACTGATGTGTGTCATGGTGGTACCAATAACGCAGTGAGAACTGGCACAGTTGATGGACACGTGAAAGATCTGCTGGTGGAGGAGGCGCTCCCCACCTCTGAGCTCATTGTGCATTCGAATTTTGTACAGAACTAGTGAATTCTCCATTTGAGCCAGAACTGAGGAGTTTGCATTGCTTGGCTGGGTGGGGGATACTTACGTGTAGGCTGCAGCAACGCTCGTCTGTTTGGATGTGTCCCCAGATCTTCCAGATCTTCCCCATTTCTTACTGAAATGCCCCATGGCAAACAGCGGTGCATCACCTGCCAGCCATCAGCGTGGGCTCCTGGCACTGGGCAGTGGCTGAGCAGGGCAAGAGTGTGAGGAAGGAAAAACTGGGGCGTGGGAGTGGGACAGAGAGTCCTCACTGTGGTAGGGAGTTACTTGCACATTGTAGGGTAGGGGATCTACACCCCCCTAACCACAGGAATTGGGATACAGCTCTTGAGATTGAACAAGCTCTCTGACAGAAGCAGAGGAATAGTCTTCCATCCCAGCAGATGACTACAGCAGCGTTTCCCATCCAGGTTAAAAATGCCTGGTTGCATGTATCCTTCCGAGCTGGGCAGGTGGTTGCTCTCGGAAGGTTTGCATTTGTCCAGATGCTCTTAAACAGAGCCCGCGCTTCCTTCTGAGGGCTCAGTCCTCCTGCTGTTGGCTCTGGAGCTCTGTACATACCAGTATCCCAAGTGCCAGAGGATTAGATGGTTTTTTATCCAAAAAGAAATAAAAGAGAATTGAGGAAAATGGGATTTGTTTCCCTTAAGGGTTTGGGGTTTTTTAGTCTCTGCATTGGAAGGTGCCTTGTACCTAACTTGTTTCTACTGTAGAGTCGGTCACCTGTTCCTTGCATGGGTGCTGTGCCCAAACAGAGAGGAGAGGAAGGTGCTTTATGGATAGGATCAGGGCAAAGGGAGAACACCACACATGATAGGAGAAAGCTTTACATCCCTTTTTGGCTGCTGCACTCTTCTCTCAGTGTCTGATTTGCATAATTCCTGGTGACACATCCCAAGAGGGAACAAAACAGTCTATGGTCAGAGCTTTGGGTCCTTCTAGAGCAGCTTCCGCGTATTTGCATGTACATGCCTGCCTGTGATGCTTCTGATTGTTCCTCTTTTCTTCTTGCCCCCCTCCCCCACAGCTTGGATGTGTTTTTCCGCTGGTTGTTTGACAAAAAATTCCTCGCTGAAGCCGCTGTTCGATTTGAGTAAGTGGAGCTGGGCAGGAGACCCCTCTTTGCAAGGGGGGAGGTTCTTGTTGGTGTCCAAATGCAGCTGGGGGCTCCCAGCTGCTGCCCGGCAAAGGGAGGAGCACCTCCTGCAGCCTGCTTTCACTGTGCCTCCCCAGGTGTGTGTTCCTGCCAGACAACGGGGCCTTCTTTGTCAACTACGTCATCGCCTCTGCCTTCATCGGGAACGCCATGGACCTGCTGCGCATCCCCGGCTTGCTCATGTACATGATACGCCTCTGCCTGGCCCGCTCGGCCGCCGAGCGCAGGAACGTCAAACGAGTATGCGCCTGGGCCGGGGGGTGGCTTGCGCCCGGGGACGGGAGTGCTGCGATGGGGCTCGTTCCCCCCTGGCTCAGCTCCTGGCATCGTGCTGATGGGTCTCGGTTCCCTCTTGCAGCACCAGGCCTACGAGTTCCAGTTCGGGGCTGCTTACGCCTGGATGATGTGCGTCTTCACCGTGGTCATGACATACAGCATCACCTGCCCCATCATCGTCCCTTTCGGTAAGTGGTACCCCTCTGCCTCCCCAGGCCAGGGGCTGAGGAGAGCTCGAGGTAGGGAGGCAAGAAGGGTGGGGGAGAGATTTCCCTGACAGTCAGAGGTGCTGGGAAAGAGGCTGATTCCCTGCCGGCATCCCTCCCTTTCTCTCAGGGCTCATGTACATGCTGCTTAAGCACTTGGTGGACCGATACAACCTGTATTACGCTTACCTGCCTGCCAAGCTGGACAAGAAGATCCATTCGGGGGCTGTGAACCAGGTGGTGGCAGCCCCCATCCTCTGCCTCTTCTGGCTTCTCTTCTTCTCCACCATGCGCGCAGGTGAGTGCTGGGTTGGGATGCCAGCCCCCGGCTTCCACGGAGCTGCTGCCCCAGCCAGGCTGCCATGCAGCTATGGAGCACGGTCAGGGCCCCTCTGACACCGCCGCTTCGGTCTTCCTTTGCCCCAGGGTTCCTGGCCCCCACTTCCATGTTCACCTTCGTGGTCCTCGTGATCACCATTGTGATCTGCCTGTGTCACGTCTGCTTCGGGCACTTCAAATACCTCAGCGCTCACAACTACAAGGTGAGGCGGAGTGCTGGGTGGGGGCGCGGGATGCTTCTCCTTGGGAGCACGGCGGAGCGGCAGGGGCCTCTGGGAAGGGCTGGAGCACTTCACGGCAGAGTCTCTCAACTCCAGCTTCACGGAGGGGCCAGTGTGTGGTGGGACAGCAAACGGGTTGCCCTGGCTGTCTCTCAGTTTCTCCTTTCCTCTCCAGATTGACCACACGGAGGTGGACGCCATAGAAAACAGGCAGAACGGGCGGGAGCCCTGCCACCAGTCTGCCGGCTCCCAAATCAGCTGTGAGTCCCTGGTCCCCGCCTCCATGCCCTGTCACGCTCTTTACCCAGGTTTGGGAAGGGGGAGGTAACTCCCTGTTGGAGTACTGTGCTCCTCACCTCTCCAACGCAGCGCCGAGTCTCCCAGTGAGGGCGGGAGGCAAGTGTCGGGCACTGTACCCCTTGCCTGCACTGGGCAATGAAAGGTACCCCCCCCCCGCACACAGAGCCCTTTCCCGCTGCTTCCCAGACACTGTGCTTTTACTTTCTGCCTCTCCCGGCTGGGACAGTGAATCCAGCCAGGTCAGTCTCCCTTCTTGTCCTGCCTCTTTGCACGCTTGCCCGTCAGCAACGGCTGTCACCCGCTGGGCTGGCCCCAGTGCCAGCGCAAAGGGGTCTCTGGGCATTGCCTCAGAGGCCATCGGAGTGCTCTGGGGACTCTCCCCTCCCCTGCCCAACTCTCCGAGATCCCGGAGTCAGTTTTCTGAACCTCTCCTTGGCTCACTGGCTCATTCCAGCTGCTTTCTTCCACCATGAGATTTTCCCAGCTGGTGTCTGTGCCAAGCTCTTCAGGGGGTGTGTGCAGAGATGGGGTAAAGCAGACCCTCCCGCTTCCTCGGGAGAGCGGAGGGGTGGGCACACGTAATCCAGGCTCCTTCCCACTCTCCATGTACCTAAGGGTAGTGGCATCTCTCCAAAAGGAGGTTGCCCACAGGAGGCAGGCATGGCCTTAGAGGGACGCGGCCGCTGGCGAGAAGGTGAGCGCAGTCTTCAGTCCACGTGGGCTCCGGAGAGCTGAGGAGCCCTGTGCTCTCCCAGCCCTGGCTCACAGGGGTGTTGCCTGTCCCAGGATGCTGGGGCTTGGCACAGCCACTGTTGCAAAGCCATGCCAGCCCTGCTTTTATCCCCCTCTCCTGGTACATCTCCTGGAGTCTGGACCCTTCCTCACCCTCCCAGCATATCCCCACGCTCAGCATCTTGTGTGGTGCTTTGTGTGTCGCACTCTGCTGCCACAAGAAGCCCCCTGGGCTCACACGTGTATCTCTGTTCTCTCCCCCACTCCTCGCCCGACCCGTGCCTGGCCCTGGCAGAAGTACATCGCCCAAGTGCTGCAGGACTCCTCGCCGGAGGGCGAAGCAACGGAGTCGGAGGAGCAGGGATCGCAGGACGAGGAGCTCATCAACACGGGCGGCATGAACGACACGGATTTCCAGTCGTGTGAGGACAGCCTGATAGAGAACGAGATCCACCAGTAGGGACCTCGGAGGGCGGGAGGGGAACGAGGCCCAGGAGCGGGTCAGGCTGTGCACGCGGAGACCCTAGGGAGAGGCACCCGAGGGTGCTGACCGCTGCCCTCGCCCACCTGCCCTCCAGGGCCGCTGCCTTCCGAGAGGGCAGGGGCCCTGCTGCAAGCCCCCCGTCTCCCTGCCCTCCACCCCTGCGCTGGCCCAGCAGCTCGGCGGGCATGCTCTTTACTAGCTACCTTCTTCAGCGTGCCCCCAGACCCCAAAACCCCGGGGGCTGGGGTG